GGGGGAAAAGTTCATCTCTGCTAGCGCAAGTCTCTTACATTAGTGGAACGGGAGCTCAGGATACCATCAGATGGTTGTAACTGCTTTATTTGTTTTATAATTGCATGTTCTATTATTGTAACCAGTCCTGGACCCTTGTGGCAAAGGGTGGGTAAGAAATCTGATAAAATAAATATATACAATGGAAAAAGAGCCCAATAACTTTGGTTTTAATTTGCAAACTAAGGATCCTTTGTTGCAAAGAGACAATGAATACTAATAGAGCAATTTTCCTTCTGGGCACTAGAATACCTGTGTGTCTGCCTCTTGAAAGTTTTGGAATTCCAAGGGAACATTTCTGATTTCACGAGAAACTCATTTCCAATGTGATCTAACCAGTGCAGAAGACTCCTAACCAGACTACGTACAGGCAACAGATGGTATCTGCATCATAAATACAAAATGGCTTCTTGGGTGGGTGGGTTATGTCTTATGTGAACCCAATGTACTTGTGGCTGCAATCCAAGACACACAAGCAGAGCGATCCAAAGTGACATGGGTAGGGAGAGAATTGGAGGCAAACAAACCACCACATTCAAAGCCCTGACAGACCCACACTGACGGGATGGAACATAAGGAGTGCTTCTTTCCCAGTTTCACCCCCTTTTCCAAGTCCCCACCTCCATGATTCCTCCTTTTCATCCTAATGGAAGGAGTACAGAACACCAACTCCATAGCTAAAGGCCTGATTCCCACATTATGCAGAAGGGATGTTCTGGTAAGCTAGTATCTGCAGAAGGACTTCAGCTGCAGAGTCCAGTGACTGATTGGGTATATAAGGGGTGAAACCTTTCAGATATCCTGGTCCCAAGCTGTATACAGTCGTACCTTGGAAGCTGAATGGAATCCATTCCGGAAGTCTGTTCGACTTCCAAAATGTTCAAATTTCAAGGTGCGGCTTCCAATTGGCTGCAGGAGCTTCCTGAAGCCAATCAGAAGCCATGGAAGCCCCACTGGACATTTGGCTTCCAAAAGAACATTCAAAAACTGGAACACTCACTTCTGGTTTTCAATTGTTCAGGAGTTGGAACGTTCAACTTCCAAGGCATTTGAGAGCCGAGGCAAAACCCAAATCAGCACCTAGGACTTCAGCATAAGTGTCCAAAGTAGAAGTAGAATTATTTATTTGCCCCAGAAATTTATGCTTTGCAGATGTTGATGGTGACTATTTTCTGAAAGTTCTGCTTGCAGACATAACTACCAAAAGTTTTAGGCATAGATTTCTCAGTAGCAACTTATATTTGATACTGTCTGTCAGCTAGCTAGGACCAGCAGCCCTACATCTGATGGTATCTGACATGTAGCAGTTTGTATTTGACAATATTTGCCAGGTGACACAAAGCAGTAGTCAGGTTTTGACAGCACTTGACAGCTGGCCTGCAGTAGCATTCTGTATGTGACAGCTTACTTGAAATAGAACTTAGTAAATTTTGTATTAACTTCACCCAGCCCAACAGGCATTTTGTTATTTTTTTAAAAATGTATTAAATTTTAATTTCAAAATTCAGTTGTTTAATCTTGATGTATAACTTGGGAATGTATTGGTTAAACAAAAGGGGTGTCATCATTTAAAACAGCTAAGTGTTAAAATGGTATGACCAGGTGACATCCAGTTTTAACCAATAAAAAAATGGAAGCAATACTAGGCTACTGCTCTATCTTTCAAATCAGAACCAGTGAATGCGGTGAAGGTCCTGTGTGAGTGTCTGGAGGCAGTTGGAGGATGGATGGCACTGGCAGATTGATGTTGAATCCTGACAAGTACTGTTTTGGGGGGAGAGGAGGCGGGCAGGTGTGGAGGACTTTCTGGTCCTGAATGGGGTAACTGTGCCCCTGAAGGACCAGGTGCGCAGTCTGGGAGTCATTCTGGACTAACAGCTGTCCATGGAGGTGCAGGTCAATTCTGTGTCCAGGACAGCTGTTTATCAGCTCCATCTGGTACGCAGGCTGAGACCCTACTTGCCTGTGGACTGTCTCACCAGAGTGGTGCATATTCTAGTTATCTCTCACTTGGACTACTGCAATGTGCTCTATGTGGGGCTGCCTTTGAAGGTGATCCAGAAACTACAACTAATCCAGAATGCAGCAGATAGAGTGGTGACTGGGAGCAGCCGCCGAGACCACATAACACCGGTCTTGAAAGACCTACATTGGCTCCCAGTACATTTCTGGGCACAATTCAAAGTGTTGGTGCTGACCTTTAAAGCCCTACATGGCCTCGGTCTAGTATACCTGAAGGAGCTTCTCCACCCCCATCGTTCTGCCCGGACTCTGAGGTCCAGTGCCGAGGGCCTTCTGGCGGTTCCCTCGCTGCAAGAAACCAAGTTACAGGGAACCAGGCAGAGGGCCTTCTCGGTAGTGGCACCCGCCCTGTGGAATGCCCTCCCATCAGATGTCAAAGAGAAAAACAACTACCAGACTTTTAGAAGACATCTGAAGGCAGCCCTGTTTAGGGAAGCTTTTAATGAGGCTATGTGATGATGTTGCATCCTTCAAAGGGATACTGGGTGGGTGGAGAGATCGCTTTCCATGGGTCTGACCCAACAAAGTAACTTGTAACTCATTCTTCTCACTTCTCATCCTTCAAACCTCATAAAATATACCAGATTAGATGTTGAAGAGATGGGAAAAGTGCAGAAACAGAAATCATTAGGCGGTTGAAGACCCTTACAAAGAAAGGCTAAAGCATGAGTAAAATGGGGGCAAGAAATCCACCGTGTGGAAACATTATGCATGCAGTGGGAAAAGTACAGGGTTGGCCAAGGTATTTTGCCGCCTGAGGCATAGTACCTGAGGCAAATTCAGTTAATTTTGCATCTGACGCACTCCATGCCGCAAGAGCCTCTCACTGTCTTCCACTAATGGAAGATGATGTTGCATAGAGCATTAGTTTGGATTTTTGCAGCATTTCCTGATTTGATCATTAGCCAAGAGCTCTGTTCATTCTTATTTCTGTAGAAATGTGTGTTTGTATTTGGAGGGGAGCAGGCCGGCTGGGGCAGTGCCTAGTGACTCTGCTCCCCAATTCTATGTGTTAACAGGATCCATATGAGCATAGCCAAAATGGTGTTATGCTTAGGGATGTGGATGGCGCTGTGGTCTAAAGCCTCTTGGACCTGCTGATCAGAAGGTTGGCGATTCGAGTCCCCATGATGGAGTGAGCTCCCGTTGCTCTGTCCCAGCTCCTGCCAACCTAGTAGTTCAAAAGCACACCAGTACAAGTAGATCGATAGGTAACACTGTGGCAGGAAGGTAAACAGCTTTCCCATGTGCTCTGGTTTCCGTCACAGTGTTCCATTGTGCCAGACCCCATGTACTGACCCCATGACCCAGAAAGCTGTCTGTGGACAAACGCTGGCTCCCTCAGCCTGAAAGTGAAATAAGCGCCGCAACCCCATAGTCTCCTTTGACTGGACTTAACTGTTCAGAGGTCCTTTACTTTTACCTTTTTTTTACCTATGCTTAGAGTATTGGACTAGGACTGGTGAGACCCTGGTTTAAATCCCCACTTAGCTTTCAAGCTCACTGGGTGACTAAGCTGATCTCTATCTCTGTGTTTAGATACTGGATTCGAGTGTTGGGAGCATTACCTTTGGATCCTTGGAATAAATTTGAGAGATGAATGCAATTAATAATCATCCTACACACCCATTTACTCAAGGTATGGATTGCACCTTGGGGAACTTACATGCATTTGGGTAGACAGGGACCAAATACATTGATGTTCCTCAGGTAGTTGACCCTGGCAAGCATTTTCTTTCATAAATGGTCAAGGCTGGGCTCTGATCAAGATGAGGAATTGACATAGCGGGTGAGTGACTTTAACTCTTTGCCTCACACTCCACTTGCAATTTGCATTGGGAAAAAGAGCTCCCATTTGCTCCAATAAATATGTAGGGGCCCTGATCCAGACTGGGACCATGAGGGGGTGAGGTGAAAGGAAAAGCTAGAAGTGTAGGAAGCTGACTTTTAACAACTTGGAATCATAGAATTGTAGATTTGTAAGGGACCCTGAGGGTCCTCTAGTCCAACTCCTGCAGCGCAAGAATCTCAACTAAAGCATCAAGGACAGATGTCCATCCAACCTCTGCTTACAAACCACAAATGAAGGGAGTCCATTCTACTGTAGAATAGCTCTTACCATCAGAAAGTTCTTCCTGATTTTTAGCTGAAATCTCCTTTCTTGTAACTTGAATCCATTGGTTCGGGTCCTAGGCTCCAGAGCAGGAGAAAACAAGCTTCTTCCTCTTCTACATGATATTTAAAGATTACTATCATATCTCCTTTCACTCTCCTTTTTCTGGGTTAAACATACCCAACTCCCTCAACCATTCCTCATATGGCTTGGTTTCTAGACCCTTGATCATCTTGGTCACCTTTCTCTGCACATGTTCCAGCTTGTCAACATCTTTCTTAAATTGTGGGGCTCAGGACTGGACACAGTATTCCAGGTGTGGTCTGACTAAGGCAGAGTAGAGCAGAATGATGACCTTGATCTGGATTGTTGTTGTTGTTTAGTTGATTAGTCATGTCCGACTCTTCATGACCCCATGGACCAGCGAACGCCAGGCATTCCTGTCTTCCACTGCCTCCCGCAGTTTGGTCAAACTCATGCTGGTAGCTTCGAGAACACAGTCCAATCATCTCGTCCTCTGTCGTCCTCTTCTCCTTGTGCCCTCCATCTTTCCCAACATCAGGGTCTTTTCCAGGGACTCTTCTCTTCTCATGAGGTGGCCAAAGTATTAGAGCCTCAGCTTCATGATCTGTCCTTCCAGTGAGCACTCAGGGCTGATTTCCTTGATCTGGATACTATACTTCTATTGATGCAGCCTAGAATTGTATTCACTTTTTTGTTGTTGCTGCTGCTGCATTACACTTGGTCCACCTAGCTCAGTATTGTCTATACTGACTGCCAGTGGCTCTCCAGGGTTTCAAGCAAGGGTTGCTCTTCCAGCTGTACCTGGAGATGTCAGGGATCAAACCTGGGACCTTCCTCATGTAAAGCAGATGCTCTAACACTGAGCTACAACCCTTCCCTCAATACCAAATTATGTGATTCATGTCACATATAATTTGATCCTGAGTGTAGATGCTGTGCACAGAGGACCCAGGCAACAAGAAGTTTCTCTCTAGATTGCCACAGAACAATTTCTCATCTTCATTACTGGTTGTAACTTAATTGATTCCATAAGCTTGCCAGGATCCAACTTCAGGCACACCGTAGAGATGAGTGTGTTGACTTTTAGAAAAACAACAACTGGTAAGCAGCTCCTTTCACTGAATAATAAACTGCTTCAGGTATCTGAAGAAGTGTGCATGCACACAAAAGCTCACACCAATAACAAGCTTAGTTGGTTTCTAAGGTGCTACTGGAAGGAATTTTTTTATTTTGTTTCGACTACAGCAGACCAATACGTCTACCTACCTGCTTTTAAAAGATTCCCCACAGCTTCATGGGTTGTAGAAAGGCCCTCCTTTGATAGAGATGATGGGACTAGTTCCGGTGATCTCAGTCAATCATTTTCAGAGATCTGATGGTCCATTTGAGCTCTGGGCTGGTGTGAATGCCCTCATCTGCCCAAGCTGTTTTGGGGCAGCTCTTTGCTAGTGCCAATTCAGATGCATACATGAAGCCAGGAAGGCTTCTCTTCAAGTAATGTTACCGAGATGTGGCACAAAAAAAGAGCCCTGCTGGATCAGGACCAACTTTGATGGCTGGTGCCCATTGAGATTGGAAGCAGAGTTTCCCAGCAGAAGGTAGACAAGTCAGCCATAGAAAGGGCCAGAGCTGGCAGCAAGAATATTATTGGCACAAAAATGGAAGCAAGAAGAACTACCAATGAAAGAAGAATGGAGGATGAAATTGATGGACTATGCAGAATTAGATAAATTAACAGGAAGCATTCAAAACTTGCGGGACCAGAGATTCTTAGAAGACTAGAGTAAATATACGAACTATTTGAAAAGTAATAGTAATGAACAGACTACGCTAGTAGGATTGTAAGAAGTTTTGTAAGGAGGACTATTTGAAATATTACAAGTAAGACTATGAGGAGAATTATTAGCTAATGATAATTAAGAGTAATAGAGAAATTAAGAAATGCAGAATAAGTGATAAAGAACGGAAAATCATCAGAGGTGTTGACGGAAGTCAAAAATATTGTATAAGATAAGAAGTTGTGTTATATGAATGTTGGAAATGATATGTTAAAACACACACACACACACACACACACACACACACACACACACGAATGAAAGGGCCAAAGCCAATGACAGACAAAGCCTGTCTAGTCTTCCCCCTATCTTCCTCTTTGCAAGGGCAACACTGAGATTCAGGAGGAAGAATTGCCTCCTTTGGACTGAATGCAAGAGAGAAGGCAGGCAGGCAGGATGTGGCTGAGGAGGACAGAATGAGGTTGGAAGGACTAACCTATGGGACCATCCTTCATTGAGGCCAAAGGCCCATGTAGTCCAGTATCTGGTTCCCACAGTGGCCAATGAGATGCCTGAGGGAAGCAGGACCTACTCCACACCAGTTGTGATTCCCAACAAGTGGTCTTCAGAGGCACCCACTATCTGACAGTGGAAGCTTAGCATAGCCACCGTGACTGGTAGCCACTGACAGCCTTATCCCCCCACAGAGTATTCAGAACCGCAGGCTATGCTACATTGATTTATGCAATATCATTACATGATAGGGAGAGACTGTAAAAGCAAAGGCTTATGCAGCATTTATAGCCAGCTTCTTCTTTTTTTAAAGGAAGTGATCACTGAAGCCTGCGCATAAAGGAAGACAAGGCACAATTATAAGCGAGAAGTAATTTTAAATGCAAATGCGCCAGCGAAAGCATAAAAGCTAATTGTCATTTCCACCCCCACCCCCCTTCCGCCAGCCATTTCAACGCCCTGTGTGTGCTACCTTCCTCCCTTAGGGAGTGTCGGCCTGCAGCTGTACTGCCACACTATGACCTTTCCTGTGAAATACAGATGACCTGGATTTCTTTCTGTGAAGATGGAGATGCTAACCCTGTGAGGGAGCACCATAAAACCCCGCAATCTATTTAATTTTCACCAAAGGTGGGGCTGCAACGATATGCAGAAGCAGGAACAGCACACTAGGAAGGAGGTTTCAATGGCTGTGATTATAATATTTTGTTATTTCATATATTTATTGCATTGTATAGCGTTCTTCCTCCTGGACATTCAGGAGGGCAAATACTGAGACATCTCAGGATCAGACTATATGTTACATTGGAAATCTGTCAGTGGGGTATTATTTGTTCACCAAAAAGCAGCTGTAGGAGTGTGTGTGTGTGTGAGAGAGATAGAGGTCCAACAGGAACTGTTATTACCTATACAGAGGTCCTCATATATTTTCCCTACTCTGGTTAAGGGCAGCATTTTGGGGGGTGGGGTGGAATCGGCCAGGAAATCAGCAGTGGTGTCTGGTCCATTAGGGCAAATGGGACACTGCCTCACCAACCTCACTGTGCCTTCAGCCACCCCACACCTGCCTGCCTGCCACTGGTGGAGGAAGAGAGTGCGGGGGGAGCGCACCGCCCCCGGCAGCGCGATCCCTGCAGGGTGCCATCGCAGCTGCCCCCTGCCCGCGTTGGGTGCCCCACCCCCACAAGCAGTGTGCCACGCCCCCAGGATGCGCCCCATGCCCCCAAGACACACGCCAGCTCCACCCCGCCTGCTCTTCGCCCCCCGGTGCTGGAGCATGAAGCTCCGCCACTGCTGCCTGCCTAGATGTAAGTATCTAGTCAGAGAGGTGGCCCTGACTCTCAGCTTTCACCTCCTTAGTCTCAGTGCTGCAACTGAAGAACTCAGCAAGGAGAAGCTAGAATTAGTTCATTGCCTCCTTCAAATGTTGGGTCCTCCACCCTTCTGTCATGCTAGTTCCAATGGGCAACACGCCAACACCCACCACTGGGAGTCAGTGCGGGGATAAATTCTGGTGTGGGGAGAGTAAAAATGTAAAATTCAATGAGTAAGCTCCTGCAATGTATTTCTGTTACTGCCTTCTTGCAAAACATTGGGGTAGTATACAGTGGTACCTCGGTTTATGAACTTAATCCGTTCCTGAAGTCCATTCTTAAACCGAACCCATTCTTAAACTGAGGCGCGCTTTCCCTAATGAGGCCTCCCACCGCTGGTGCCCTTCCACCATTCAGTTTCCGTTTGTAGACTGAGGTAAAGTTCGAAAACCGGAACACTACTTCCAGTTTTGCGGAGTTTGTAAACTGAATCGTACGTAAACAGGGCTGTTCTTAAACCGAGGTACCACTGTACAAACATAAATGCTAAGCTCCATGACTGGGAATCAGAACTGCCAACTTGCATTTCTTGAAATGTGTCCACTTTCCAAGCAATCATGATGGTGTCATCAGCATGCCTAGTTTTTGTTATCTTTCACACCGTGCTAAAGGAGGAGTCTGGCTTAAGCCTCATCAACATATTTTGCTCAGTTTCAAAACCACATGTGTCTCCTGGTATGTTAACTCCTTCCAGGAAGATGCCTTTGAATTTCAACATGATACATTCCAGACATTCCAACAAGCCTCTGAGATTTGAGAGTGAAGAGGGACAGCCAGAAAAGAATGGGCATTTTAATGCCAGCCAATGAGAGCAATCTCTTTCACCAGGTATGCCCATGGGCACAGGCGTGGGCAGACTTCAGGTTTTGCCAAAACCCCAAAAGACATACCAACTAGAATCGGGTGCAAAATGCATAGAATTAAAAGCACAAATTGCCCCTGAGCATATTCTGAGCTCCAGGAAATGGTTTACCAGAATTGAACTGAGCTGACAGTCTCAATAGCCCAGTTGACATTAGCTTTCTTATTTATTTTTTATATTTGTATGCCGCTCTCCCAAACAATGGGAAAGGGGCTGTACCTCAGTGGTAGAATATCTGTCTTGCATGCAGAAGGTCCTAGGTCCAAGCCCTGGTATCTCCAGGTAGGACTGGGAGCCACTGTCTCTCAAACTAACCTACCTCACATTGTTATTGTTAGGATAAAATGGGGAGATGGAGAACCATGTGTGCTACCTTGAGCTCCTAAGAGGAAAAGGTAAAGGTAAAGGGAACCCTGACCATTAGGTCCAGTCGCGGACGACTCTGGGGTTGCAGCACTCATCTCGCTTTATTGGCCGAGGGAGCTGGCGTACAGCTTCCGGGTCATGTGGCCAGCATGACTAAGCTGCTTCTGGGGAACCAGAGCAGCACACAGAAACGCCGTTTACCTTCCCGCCAGAGTGGTCCCTATTTATCTACTTGTACTTTGACGTGCTTTCGAACTGCTAGGTGGGCAGGAGCAGGGACCAAGCAACGGGAGCTCACCCCATTGCGGGGATTCAAACCGCCGACCTTCTGATCAGCAAGTCCTAGGCTCTGTGGTTTAACCCACAGCGCCACCCGCGTCCCCCTAAGAGAAAAGGTGAGATATAAATGTAATAAATAACTAATATGGGAGCAGGCCAGGCTGAAGGTTTTTTGGTTTTTGGTCAGTTGGCAATCTTAGTACCCTCCCCAACTTTCTGCCATGTTCACCAACTCCTCCCTTTTGATCCAAGGATTGCTGTGAGATGAGGTCTTTTTTGTTTTGCTGGGGGAAATCTTGCTTTCAAGATTTGCAGCTCATTTTTGTCCCCAGCCCTACTTCTCCATCGTGTTTGCTGAGGAGAAAGTAGAGCATTCCTCCCAGGGATGAGGTTTTTTGATATGGATAGAAGAAAGCCTGGGAAGCCTACAGAACTTTACAGCGTGTGAGAATGAATCATTTCAGCTGCATGCACTCATTGCTAAATGTTTTCCTTTTTGCTTTCTCTTCCTTTTGAGACAAAAGTAATAATTAACAAATGTTGGGTGGGGGTGAGGGAAGGGGGAAAAAATCCTGAAGCTATTTCCTTGCACACAGACATGGTGCTAGGCCTGAAGCTAAAGGATAAGAATTCCATAATTGCAGCTCTCTATAGTAATACGCCAAGAATTCTAAACCCCTGGCAGGCGTCATTTCAGAGAATAGAAGTTTCAGAATAAAGGAGGAATGTAAATATCTTTTAAGTGTCACATCTGAAAAGGGGAAGGAAATTTAAGCGAAAGTATTCCTCCTCTCTCTCTCTAGATTCATGAAACATTAACTTGAGTACAGTGGTACCTCAGTTTAAGTACTTAATTCGTTCCGGAGGTCCGTACTTAACCTGAAACTGTTCTTAACCTGAAGCACCACTTTAGCAAATGGGGCCTCCTGCTGCTGCTGCACTGCCAAAGCACAATTTCTCTTCTCATCCTGAAGCAAAGTTCTTAACCTGAAGCACTATTTCTGGGTTAGCGGAGTCTGTAACCTGAAGCGTATGTAACCCGAGGTACCACTGTATAAGGAGACCCAGCCTGATGCATGGATAGAGCAATGGGTCTGGATAGGAGAAATATCCCTGCTTAGCAATGAAGTGTATAGTGTGGCCATAGGGCTATAGTTCACTCAAATGCAGGTTGAATATTTGTAGATGCCAGTGGCAGGACACCAGGCCTACATATATGCCCCCTATTGTGCACATTATGTATCATATGATGTGCTGTGTACACATACTTATGTAGCAACAATAACACATCAAAGCCCATGATACAGTGTAACTGTGAATGACATATGTTTGTGGGAAAGCACCTTAGGCTTCTACATCCATATAAAGGTAAAGGTAAAGGGACCCCTGACCATTAGGTCCAGTCGTGGCCGACTCTGGGGTTGCAGCGCTCATCTCACTTTATTGGCCGAAGGAGCCAGCGTACAGCTTCCGGGTCATGTGGCCAGCATGACTAAGCTGCTTCTGGCGAACCAGAGCAGTGCATGGAAACGCCGTTTACCTTCCCTATTTATCTACTTCCCCTTGTCGTGCTTTCGAACTGCTAGGTGGGCAGGAGCGGGGACCAAGCAACGGGAGCTCACCCCGTCGCGGGGATTCGAACCGCTGACCTTCTGATCGGCAAGTCCTAGGCTCTGTGGTTTAACCCACAGTGCCACCCGCACCCCACATCCATATAGGATGGCACAAAAATCCAGATAGAATCTGGGATATAATGTGAAGACAGCGATATAGGCAGACTCACTTCCCAGCCCAAAATTTTCTCCAGATTTCATTTTCACCAGAATCTGGCAGTGGGCTTGATTTATATAGCACTTTGTAGATCAGAATGCTCATTATTTATCTTCTGCATACCAACTGGGTACCCTTTATTTCTATTTTGCAGTAAGAGAATTAGGGACCCAAGAGGACCCTGGCTCAGGTGAATTTTGAACTCTTATTCATTTTTGTAGCTCACTCAGATTTGTAGTTCATCCTCAATAATACATCATAAAGCAGCATTACACTTGTATATATTTTAGCATATGCAAATATACTATTACTCTTTTGCTTAAAGAGGGGGGTGGCAATCCAACATGTCTCTCCACTCTCTTTCATAAGAAATGTATCCATTTCTTGTGATCACTCCAAGGCCAGTTGTTCTGCTCTTGTAGGAAGCAAGAAATAACTAGAATAAATTTGATTGTAGTTAAATTATCTGCATTTCCTTGTTCACTGCTGTACATTTTTTCCAGAACAGGAGAGGGAAACCAGGCCTAAACAGGCCCTTGCTGTGGCACCAGACCCAGATCTGAGTATGTTCCTGCAAAGGAAATGAATTGTTTTCTCTTCATATAATAAAAACATAAGAATGTCATCATGCAGTCCCCATTGGAGAATTTGTAGTGTCTCATCACACAGTGCACTTCATGCACATCTAGGATTATTATGTGGCAGTATAAATCTTCTGATGGGGTCTTTGTGATGACATTCTTAAAAAGTTATTATATAGAATATTTCATTCAATATTTCAAGTCCCGTTATGCTCCATGGAGTTTACTGCCAGGTAAGGGTGTATGGGATCACAGCCCAAATATATGAAATATGGCTTGGTAAGAGACCTGCATTTGACTCAGGGTGAATGTAGAGATTTCTTGGCAAGTTTGGCACTACCAGCTGCCTACAACCACTTGTCAAGGCATAGGATAAAACTCTAGTTGCTGTAGCCTGTCAGTGCTTGCACTCTAGCCTATTCTGGCATCAGGATTCCTGGGTCCCATTTCAGCAGCTGGAAACAAAAAGCAGTTTTGACCAATGCTTCATCGGTCTTACTCTCACAGGTTTAGCATGAACCACTTCACAGCTCACATCCAGATTCTTCTTGTCTCCTCCTCACCATGGTGAACAATGCTAATTGAATCATGGTGAGACACTCTCAGGAAATGGCACAAAGGCACAAAAACAACCGCTTCCCCCCACAACTTTCAAGTGGGCAAATGAATTTTTGCAAGGCTGACTTACTGATTGTTTCTTTTGCTCTGGCCCACTATTGAAGCGAATGCTATTTTTAAATACAATGACTCCCTTTTATAGCAAACTGTTGTAAGTGAGGATCATTTCCTGCAGGCTGGCAGAAGGACGCTCTTGGTAAGAGCACACATTTTAGCAGCTGGCATGTTAATGAGGCTGTTTTTATTGAAATCTGAAATGAGTGAAATAATATTAACATTTCTGGACTCTCCTAACCTCCTTCAACAGCATTTACCAAACTTCAAAAAAGTGCTTTGTTAATATATAGTATATATATATGAAAGAGCGGAAGGGAGAAAAGTAGGGATTCCATAGAAACAGTGCCAAATTGTTTGCCGACGGTTCCTCCCTATATTTGAACCGGTTCTTTCCTTTGTGTGGGCATATTTAAATGCACTGCAAAGGATGTTGCAAACTTTTCTTTTTTGAGCCAGAGCAAAGTGCCTGTTTCATATGCTTATAAAGTCCAATTTACCATTGTAAAGTCTTTTCTGGTTATGCCCATGAGTTGATTCTGCCCCCACCCCAATCTTTTAGCTCAATGATTCTAATAGAATAAAGGAATGCCTGGAAATTGGAAAAAAAAATAAGTATCTGGTTTAGGTTCATTAAAAAAGAAAACAAGGCAGGTAAGAAACAGTGTTTATTCTCTTCTTCGACTGATGGACAGTTGACTGGTCCAAAAGTCAATCATTTTTAAAGGGCGATGATGATGCACAGTCTGGCTCAAGAGGACAGTTCCATTTCCAGTACAAATAGGTGAGATCAGAGGTTTTGTTGTGGCTAATGACAGTTTCACGTCTTCCAGTTTCAACTGCTTGAGAAGCTCTGGTGAAAAAAGAGGGTTACTCACCCAGTAACCCAATTCACCCAACCAGATCAAACAAGTTGAGCTCTATATGAATGCACTTTCTTCATAGATTTGTATGTGCCCAGCTGTTTTTAGTAAGATTTCAATGAGTGCAACACATAGTTCAAACTCTTTGAAATATGAGCCAATGCATTTTGCACTGTGTGCTGGGTAACTTTCAGAGTTCTTCACTCTAGAACCATTTACCCTGGAAAAGAGAATAATGATTGACCTTTTCCTCCCCAGGATTCCATTTCTAGCTGAACCTCTCCCCAGATTCTCAGCAGCTCTTCTTGATCCCAGAGTGCTCTTCTTGGTGGTAGAGCATCTGCTTTGTATGCAAAAGGTCCCAGGTTCAACCCTGGCATCTCCAGGTAGGGCTGGGACTATTCCACATCTGAAATCCTGGAGAGCTTTTGCCAGTCAGTGTAGAGAACACTGAGCTGAAAGGGACCAAAAGCCTCACTCATTATAAGGCAACTTCCTGCGCTCCTATGCTCACATTATGGCCTCTATGGGAGAGGTAAGAGAAAATAGAAATTCCTGCCAATTAAGTTCCAGAAAATAGATGAAGGGCCAATCCAGCTGCCCTTGGTTTCTTCTTCTTCCACATGTGGGACTTTCTGCTTACAGAAGTTCTGTTTACAGAAGTTAGCAACAGCAACCCATCTGCTGGGAAGATTGTGTAGTGGCTCCATCCCACCTGGTGAATCACTCCTGAATATAAGCTCAGTATTCCATTTCCGCTTGCCAACTGATACTCAGCATTCCATAGCTACTGAGCATGCTCAGCCCTCTTGAAGCTGTTTATTTGGGAGAGGGAGTTAGTAGGTGGCCCCCTTAATTTTTTATTGCTAAGGTTTTCATACTTCTGCAAAACTCAGGGTGCCCTCAAGCGTGCTGACGCCTCCTTCATGTTCCCAGTGGCCTTATTTTGACTCCATTTCTGTTGATGCTCACCACCTTAGCTTGCGGTTAGAGGGAGTGCTGTCAATGTAAATAAGAATGCCCACATTTCCTAAAAGAGAAAGATTCCAGATTTTTATATCAACTGGCAAGAGTTGTCTTTAGAATTAACACAGAAAACCACCCATCTCCCTCCTTTTCTATTATCTCTTCATTTGCCCATTTTAATTCTAAATGAGAGCCCAGGCTGTTTACATGAGATCTAATTTTGTCTGCTAGTAATAGAGAGGGTGCCTACTGTGGAAATCCTCCAACATAGATTTAATTCAATTAAGGAATTCTGGCCTCTCTCCTGGTAGTAGGGACAAGCCTAGAGGATTCCAAAGAGCAAGGAGATCAGAGCCAACAGGAAAAAAAGCTCATTAGGTTTTGCCTGTGGTTGCCAGCAGATAGCAACCGATCCAGAAACCACTTATTAAAATTGGAATTGTGCTTGATGGGACAGCTTCCTGGTATTTGATGTATGGCAAGCGCTGGGCATTGTTGAAAAAAGCCTGGCTCTGAAACAGGCAAAGAGATGGATACAACTGACTGGCAGTGAAATGTTTAATTACAATTTATTGTGTGGAGGAACATAGCAACCATTTGGATCTGGCAAAGATTGCCCTAGAACTGGGACAGGTTAAAAGTATTTCCCCTCTGTGAGTCCTTATCTTAAATGAATGCCCTTTTTCTAATGGACAGAATAAATCAGGATAGTGTGACACAATTATAAGGAATTATCAGGGCCGGGTATCTTCCTGGACATGGCTCATCTTTCAGTCATTGTACCTCAAGAATGTGTGCCATGGGGATGTCATACAGAAAAGCTTCATGGGTGCAGCATCAGAGACTTTTTGAAAACTTCACTTAGCTCAAAAAGCTGCTAATTGAGACTACGGTAACTATTGGGACAATCTCTTGCCATCCCTTAAAAGAAACTCCCTAGAGCTCCTGGCTCATTTCATAGCAGACGATACAAAGGTTTAATCATGGCTGGAGAGGGGGAGGCGGCCTATAGGAAGAAAGTTGAGCAGTTTGGGGGGTGGTGCAGGAAAAACAACTTACTCCTTAACTTAAAGAAAACAAAAGAGATTATTGTGGACTGTAGGAAATGTCCACAATAATGCAAATCTATGCTTCCAGGTGCCATAAGAAAGCTGCAGAGATAGCGCAGGATAGTGCACACCCCGGAAATGATCTCTTTCAGCTTCTGCCTTCTGGAAGAAGGTACAGGGTTATAAAGACTAGGACTAGCCGCCTGAGAAACATAGAATCATAGAATCATAGAATCATAGAGTTGGAAGAGACCACAAGGGCCATCGAGTCCAACCCCCTGCCAAGCAGGAAACACCATCAGAGCACTCCTGACATATGGTTGTCAAGCCTCTGCTTAAAGACCTCCAAAGAAGGAGACTCCACCACACTCCTTGGCAGCAAATTCCACTGTCGAACAGCTCCTACCCAAATTTCTACCCAAATGCGATTTTGGTTTTAAACGCAGTGTAAGGAGTCTCTATGGGAGTATATTGTATTTAAAAATGGGGTACATGTATCAGAGTTTTTAGGGGGCTAACCAGGTTGGGATGGCTGGGATAGCAGGCTTGTTGGTTTTTGAATGTCTTATGTAGATTTTTCATTTTCATTGTTCTGTATGGGACAATCACAATAAAGATTATCGTATCGTATAGCATAGTTCAAATTGCTGATGCTTAGCTGCAGGTAAACAGCTTGGAACCAGGTACGTGAAGGGCCACCTTCTTTCGCATTGTTGTTGTTGGCATTCACCTGTCTTGAGAGGCAATGGAGTGTGCTTCCAGGGGGTGAAGTCAAACTTCTGCATTAGCAGCATTGAAGTGACCTTTCTGGGGCACAAGCCTGGGCAGTGTGTATGGAGGTCCTGGGTTGTCTAGTGCCTTGAACCTGGCCTGGTAGCAGATAAGGTGCTATGTTCTGGCAGCATTTGCACCCCAAAGCAACATAGCCCCTGTGTTCACCAGCCGCCATCTCCAAATCTAGATCAACCTCAGGAAAGCACCGCACAGAGTGCATTGCAGTATTCCAGCCTTGAGGTGACAGTTGTGGTCAAGTGATGTTTTTCTTAAGTGCCTCTGTTGAAAGCAATCGGTTAATGACTATTCTTGTTTCTATTTATACTTATCTGTGGACAAAAGACCTTGTCTGATACAGTATATCGTATTCTTCCATGAGAATTGTTACCATGGAGCGAAACACATGAAAAGTGTTAGATCAGGATTAAAAATTGATACAGATTTTCCAGGAAAGAAATATGAGTGGGGCAAAACAGGAAACTCCTGTCCCCTTGTGTATCATTCTTTGGGGAAAATATATGTTTTTTCAATCCCAACATAATGCTTTTCATATGTATTCCTCTAGGAGAACTGTTCCAAAATGATTCCCATGGAGGAAAACATTACATCAGAAAAAGCTCTTAGTCTACAAATAGATATAATATAAAGCATTTCACAGGAGAGTAGAATGAGAAAGAACCAGAGCCAAGACAATGGTTTTCAACCACTGGTTTATATAGATCAGGGGCAGCTTGTAAACTGCTTATAGAAATCACAATCACGGAGTCCCATCTTCTTCTGTCTCTGCCTCCTTATAGGAAACTTGGGGTGATATGCAACTCATTTTGACTCAGAATAATCTCATTGAAAGTAATGCACCCAACTTGGTCATGTTTACTAATTTATGTGGGTCTACTTTAGGTAAAACTGAGTTGCATACTACCCCCTAAGACATGGGTAGGGCAGCTAAGGCCCAGGGGCCGGATCCGGCCCAATCGCCTTCTAAATCTGGCCTGTGGACGGTCCAGGAATCAGCGTGTTTTTACATGAGTAGAATGTGTCCTTTTATTTAAAATGCATCTCTGGGTTATTTGTGGGGCATAGGAATCCGTTCATTCCTACCCAAAATATAGTTCCCCCCCAAGGTCTGAGGGACAGTGGACCAGCCCCCTGCTCAAAAGGTTTGCTGACCCCTGCCCTAAGACTTCATTGCTGGATGAGGGTTATGTTGCGAAATACCAGATTCACCAGTGAAACTGTTCCATCAGGGCAAATGGGACACTGCCCCCCCATGCCTACCTTCCTACTTGTAACCAGCCTGGGGGGTGGGGTGGTGGGCACTGGTCTTCGTATTGCTCTTGTGGAACTCAGTAGGGAGGAAGATGGGGACAGAATTAGAATTAATTGGCTCTGCCTCTACATTCTCTAGATCTTCTTGCTCTACTAGTCCAATGAGCACCAGCCACCACTAAAATACCTAGTAAGGTTAGGAGGGGTTTGGCTTTCTTAGTAAGCCTAGATCAGGCTTTGAAGGTTGGTCCAGAGGCCCAGGAGAGATGGAAGTTCATTAAGGTCATCAAAACAAAGTTCATAAAAGCTAGATCACTTAAAAACAAGACCATACACATGCAACTTTTAAAATCATAATGGGATCAGATTAAATACTGAAATGGAGCTATAAATTAGTGACTCATCACACTCCCCATCCCTTCTGAAAGGCCTGTGCAAAGAGACTCATCTTCACACGTCGTCATCAGGCTACTCATGTCAGTACCAGATGTAGCTTAGAGTGATGTTCATTCCAGAGGCATGGAGCCACCACAGAGCAGGCCATCTTATGTACCATTCCCCCACAAATTTCTCTTGATGGTGAGACCACAAGCAGGAGATTCCCCTACAGTCTTAATGCATAGACAGGTCAACATGAGAGGAGATGTTCCTTCAATTTTTTGAGCCCAAGCCGTTTAGGGCTTTATACATCAACTTAAGCACCTTGAACTGGTCTCAGGAGGGAATTGACTAGTGCAGTTAATTAAAGACAGGTGTTATTTGGGTCCCAACAGCACTCTGCCTGCTGCATTCTGCATTAGTTGCAGCTTCTGGGCCATTTTCAACATGACTTACTTTGTGGTAAGTGCACTTAGGATTGCAGCCTGAGAAGACTTTAGATTTCTTCATCTGTACTTTGAGGGGAAAGGGGTCAAGAATTACGATTTGCTAAACAGATTTTATAAAATGGAAATGATAATTTGAAGATCCCCTGCATCTTTCTTTCTACATTGCAAATTTTATATGACCAGCAGTTAAAATAAGCGATGGCCCCATAAATACCATGTTAATAGCCCAGTCAACAGTTTAAGCTTCTGTGGCCCTGGGTTTTTCATCTCCCCAAAGACTTTAGAAACCCTTTTCTTGTGGATTTATATTGCTGCAGCAATGGTTGCTGGTTATTACTTACTTAGCAATTGGAGGGTGGGGGGGAAAGGGGAAAAGGAGAGGAGATGTAATTTGCTAACGAGAAGCGCATGCAAATGTCGAGGGAAAGGTCCACTGATTCATGTACAGTAGATGTATGACAGATAACGAGGGGAGGGGAGGAAGTTCTTTAAGTTTAGCTGTAGTTGAGGTGCTGCCAGGAACTAGGAGTCAGGTTTTTCTCTTCACTGGTGGATGGTGGGGAAGACTCCAAACCTGAAGGGGATGAGCCAGCCAAAGAAATGCTGCTATCAGAAGAACCTGTGGGGTCTTTGCGGCTATGCCAGGCTTGAGAATATTGCTAGAAAAACGCAACCTGTGCTGCTGAAAGAAGTAGTGCGACTAATGCAACACGTTGGCGATTAATATACACAGAATAATAAATTATACATTCTTTATCAGCCTTCTGAGAAACATACAAACATTAAACAAAGCCACAGAGACTTGTGAACTAGCCAACCTAAGATGAACTTATAATGTCTGGTTTCAATAGATTTTTCAAATGTTTAACTCAGTCTTTTAGATGCAGTAAGTTCATGAAGATACCAACAAAAGGTAAGTTCGGTGTTATTCACAATACCGAGAGATGCTAGTGGAGTTCTAAAGGTAAAGGTAAAGGGATCCCTGACCGTTAGGTCCAGTCGTGACCGACTCTGGGGTTGCGGCGCTCATCTCGCTTTATTGGCCAAGGGAGCCGGCGTACAGCTTCCGGGTCATGTGGCCAGCATGACTAAGCCGCTTCTGACGAACCAGAGCAGCGCACGGAAATGCCGTTTACCTTCCCGCCAGAGCGGTACCTATTTATCTACTTGCACTTTGACGTGCTTTCAAACTGCTAGGTTGGCAGGAGTGGGAACCGAACAATGGGAGCTCACCCCATCACGGGGATTCAAACCGCCGACCTTTTGATTGGCAAGTCCTAGGCTCTGTGGTTTAACCCACAGCGCCACCCGCGTCCCTAGTGGAGTTGTAGATAGATGTTAATGAAGTTGTAGACGACAGGGTGCCGGCGTTTTGCACCTGTTTCGCCCTGGCAGTCCGAGTAATCAGGAGGCCACTGTTTGCCCCGATGGGGCCTTTTTACTGGGGCTTGCAGGTAGCACACTCCCAGTATAGTTTTCCGGGGTTCTTCAGTGGTCTAATCTCAAAGTCTTGATACGTATATTGATATTCAATCTTATAGAGAATACTTTATAAGAAATTTGCTAAGCAAATCAGTTTCTTAAGCCAAGAAAGAGTAAAAGGGCCCCATCGGGGGCGAACAGCCAACGTGTTGCATGAGTCACACTAAGGCTTGAGAATATGGCACTGGTGATTCAGACTGAGAAGATGCAGAGGCTGCCCTGTGTCAGTAGAAGGTTACTGGAGAAGGCTGGGCTCCTTGAAGTCAAGCAGCAGCTTGCAGCTCCCAGTCATGCTGCACCTGCTGCTACTATCATGTCAGCGCTTAGTTCCAGCTTGTTCCTTGCTGCAGCGGCTGCAAAACTCTGTGTTTCCCAGAGCACTGTGTACAGGTCTGGTGACCTCACCTCAAAATGGATATCGCACATCTGGAAAGGGTTCAGAAAAGGGCAATGGAAATGATTGAGGGCCTAGAGCAAACGCCCCTGTGAAAAAATATTACAATACTTTTGGGACTTACTATAATTATCCTCCCTTGTAAAACTAGAACTCAGGGCTATCCAATGAAGCTGAATGTTGGAAGAATCAGGGCAGACAAAAGGAAGTACATAGTTAAACTACGGCATTTGATCCCACAAGATGTGTTGATGGCCAACAACTCTGATTGCTTTAAAGAAGCAGTAGGCAAATTCATGGTGGATAAGACTGTTTTCTATCTTCACTGTTGGAGGATGGAAGCAAACAATAGACCAGTTAATGGAGGTGACAAATAGCATCAGTTTCCCATGCTCTTTTGCCCTGCTCCTGGTATGTGACAATTTGATCTGAGTTTATTATCAGTTGGTTTGTTAGTAGGGAGTGGCATTCAGGTGAATGTAGGATAGCCTTCCATATGTGGGGATAAGATGGAGATAGTAGCCAGGTTTCTGCAGCACACAATGAGGATTCATGAATGCTATACAACACTAAATTAAGTGTCTGATGCAAGGTTTTTAATTTTCTTTTTGAATTGTCCAGTAGCACCTTAGAGACCAACTAATTTTGTTCGGGTTGTAATGAAAGCTTATACCTAGAACAAACTTAGTTGGTCTCTAAGGTGCTACTGGACAATTTTTTAATTTTTTAATTTATTTCGACTGCGTCAGACCAACACAGCTACCTACCTGATTCTAATTTTATTTTTACTTTTTGCTGAGTGGTTTTGTTTTTTTAATTGAACCCTACTGGAATCTTGTACTTATGCCAATAAAGGTAAAGGTAAAGGGACCCCTGACCATTAGGTCCAGTCGTGGCCGACTCTGGGGTTGTGGCGCTCATCTCGCTTTACTGGCCGAGGGAGCCGGCGTACAGCTTCCGGGTCATGTGGCCAGCATGACTAAGCTGCTTCTGGTGAACCAGAGCAGCGCACAGAAACGCTGTTTACCTTCCCGCTGGAGCGGTACTTATTTATCTACTTGCACTTTGATGTGCTTTTGAACTGCTAGGTTGGCAGGAGCAGGGACCGAGCAACGGGAGCTCACCCCATTGCGGGGATTCGAACCGCTGACCTTCTGATCAGCAAGTCCTAGGCTCTGTGGTTTAACCCACAGTGCCACCCGCGTCCCTACTTATGCCAATAGCATGTCTTTAAAGAACAGTTTCTGTGAACTGCAGGTGGGGAGAGGTTCTTCTTGCAGGTGCCATTCACTGTCCATAAGACATCTTCTTCAGCAGCCTTGCAGCAGCATTCTGCCCCAGCTGAGGCTTTTGGACTAACCTTACAGGCAGCACATAGAGCACATTGCAATAATTCAATCTGGAGGTTTCTAAAGCCATAGCTCAGCTGTCCCAAAAGTGTGCCATCTGGGCTGGACAAGAGGCAGGGGGGAGCCCCCATCTCCCTAAAATGAGAGGTCTTTGAGGCAGGACCCTGTGCAACCCAGCCGATTTCACCACACACACTTTCTCTTCAGGTTAAACTGATGCACACCTTGCCAGCTACTGCCTTAAAAACACTCAAGCTATGGTGCTCTGATAATGATATAGGCCAAACGGCTCCATATTGCTGAAGTTCAAATGGCCACTGCAAACATGCAATTTGAGTAAGTGTGGAGGTGTATTGAGCCGCTCCTTTGGAAAATATGGTGTGCAAAAGCACTCTTTGGGGAATGTCTTTTCAAAAGGCAGCCCTGCATTTTAAAGCCTCTGCCCCACTCTAGAGTCTCCAGCCTTGAATACGGTGGCAGTCACCTCATTTCCTCATCGCTAGGCACCTTTTAATTACAGCTTTACTTTTACAGTTGCGAGAGAACGCCACAAGTAGCAAGGGCTGCTGCAGCAAATGGAAAGCATTTAGCATCTCTGCACGGTGGCACAAAATGCTTACCCAGCAGAGAAAATGGTCATATCTACTCACCACTTTCTCCTGGGGAAAATAATAGCTTTGGGGACACCGGCGTTGCTACGGCACAGTGAAACAAAGCACAGCCCTGGCTGTACAAGCTGAGAAGAAATCAGCTGGGTGTGGAATACAAATGGAATCAATTGAAAAGAGGCTCAAAAGAAGCCATAATCTCATGTTAGCATCTTTCACCCTGGTTCTTTTGCTTAATAGGACTGGATTTTAGCATTAATGCATCTGGGGAGCCACTGTGGTCCACCAGCTCGGGAGCAGGACTTCAGCTGCTTGTGTCCAAGTCCCACAAGATGCTTGTCCTGAAATAGCCAAGCAGATTTGCCCATGGAAGCAGTCTTTTTTGCATCCATGGCTGATGCAGATGCAGAAGCACATCTGGATGTCTATGCACATGGCACTGTCCATTCTGGCTTTGTGGACATGGTTGGAAGCATTTTTATTTTATTTGTTTTTGCTGTAGATGGGAATGCGAATTTTCACCTGGGACCCTTCTGTGCCACTAACGTACCCATTACTAGAGCTGGATTGGGGACAATTTCTATTGGCCTAATTTCCCCACTTGGAAAGATGGGGGGGATGGATGGACAGACTAATATTTACCTACTTCACAGAGCTTTGGTGAGGATCAACTCAGAAAGGAGTTGTGTAGAACTCAGAGGCTGGTGTAGAAAAACCTCTGAACTTTGCATAGACCCGAGACATGACACTATGTTTGTAGGAGTTGTTGGCGCTCATACCATTGCTTGAATATGCTTTGATTTCCTCACAGAACAAAACTACAAGAAGCCATCTCCAGTAGTAAAATCACCTGGGAATTAAACAAACTAGTGCTGATACAATTTTCCCACAAATCTCCTTAAAAAAAATCCCTCTGCAGATTTGACATGATTTGACTGCTGATGTGCAATATTAGTCAATATTTGACAGCTTCTGACACACATCAATCAATATTAGATAGTATGTGATAGCTGACATGCAGTAGCATTTAGACTACAATCTTATACCCTCGTACCTGGAAGCCCCATTGAGCTGAATGGGACATAATTCTGCGTAGATATTTATGTCATCAGGGAAGGGAGAGGAATTTGATTCAGTTAGCATTCAAAGGAGAATCTGTCTCATTTGCACTTTCTGAAATTATGCGCAAACTGAAGCACGGCCATCGTTCAAAATTTGAACATCTTTGAATTTTGCAGGGCAGTCCTCCAGCCAAGCAAAGTGTGCAAAAATGCATGTACTAATGAAAAGTGTGCATTAAAATGCAAACAGTGAAAATAATGTACAGAAATGCATCATGCTAGGTAAATATAAATATTAGGGAAAATATGCTTTGCAAAAATGTGTATATTAGGAAAAATTGCACATATACAAAAGTGTAAAATACCAGAAAATCACACTAAAATCCTGATGAATTTTCATGTGGACTTTTTTTTTTTAATGCAAATGTGGGGAACTGAATTTAAGATTGGCAAAATGAGAGACTGGGAGAAACTGAGAGGTTCACCCAACCCTTAATTGTGTTCAGATTTTGTTCTAACGATTCATTCATTGAACCAATAAGGTGTGTGGGGGGGAACCCCCACAATTAGGGAAAAATATAAAACCAGTCAAATTTAAAAGTTTGGTGAATATTTCATCCCTACCTTTCAACAAGTATGATCCCTATTGTAGAATATGGCAACTTGTCAAAATTTCACCAGTACTTTAAATTTTGCTTCGGCACTTCTTCTTCTCCCAATCTTCTCCCAAGATTGGAAGAAATTTAAAGACTATTTACAGAAATATTGCAAAATTAATGAATGTTAGAATGATGTCAGAATGAAGTTAAGTGGTTTAAGCAGCAATGTTATAAAGGTGTATGTAAAAATGGATTGTTAACAGGTGAGAATCCAAAGTTATAATGTATTAAGTTAAAGGATTAAGTTAAAAACAAAGAGGGAAAGAAATTGCTGAATTAACTAACTGAATTGGAATACAAAAAACGGAGGTGCGAGGAGGTCAGGGAAGCAAGGAAATGAATGTAAGGCATGGAAAGATTGATGTGTTTTTTTAAAGTGTTTTTTACCTTTTTTCTATATTTTGTATTTTTCTTTTATTTTTATTTTTGTCTTTTCCCCCCCTTTCTTCTTATTTATGTAACTTTTTTCTTTGAAACCTTAATAAATATCATTAAAAAAAATAATAAATTTTGCTTCGGCACTAAAACAAAAACTGGTTCTGATTTAATAGAAAGAAAGGTGTCATCTGTTCCAATGAGGACCTTTGCCTCTATCCATCCATCTGCGTTTCAGTCTGCTTTAGCTATTCTTGGCAGCAGTTGTGGTGACCATTAAGTTCTGTATTACCCCACTGACTGCATTTAAAAAAACAACAACGAGCAGGTTTCTGGAAAGTCTGCAGTACACAAGGGCTCCAGCAGGGGTCAATATGTTTTCATTATTCCAAGACAGAAGCTCAGCAAGCGAGAAGCAAAAATGTTGATCCTAATTGGAGCCGACGCAAGGTTCTTCTATAATCCTCTGACATCCTTTTCAAATAATAATTCTGAGGTGGGTGGTGAGCTGGTGGCTGCAACCGCTCTGCTGACTTCTCTCAAATGAAGCCTAACTATTGTCATTTATTTTTGATGGCGACTGGCTTAATGTCAGGGGCCTTCTTACAGTTTCCTCCTCAAACCCTCTGAAGGACACGCTCCTAATTGTTAATCTATATGGGATAAGCAGAATTATTACACCCCCCTGGCTTAATTCAGCCCTTTAGAAAATAGGCTATAGCTGTATATGGTGAGACATCAAAACAACAACAACGACAACGACCACAAAATGAATCTGTAAAACGCCCGTGAATCTGATGATATTGAACTGACCCAAAGCATTTTTAAATGCCAGTGATTTCCGACCTAGTAAACAAACGTTTGAGGAAGGGGACGGAAAAGAGGATTTGTGGGGGATTCAGCTCCTAGAGAGTGAATAATGAAATGTTAAAACTGGCCATTTTATTAGCCAAAAGGATAAGCTGAATGTTATATGTGCAAACATGGGCCATAAAAAAATTAAAGATTATTGGAGCCGTCAAAGGCTGAGATTCCACCTTAAGCAATAAAATCCACTTATGTAGGATGAGTGAAGAGAAGAAAACACCCACATCTGTCTATCTGTCTACCTACTTATATATCTATTATTATTTTAAAAACGTCCATTGACTCACACCACACACCAATGCAGTATACTAGCATAGGAAGCTCTTTTTCTTAATTTTTTGTCTTGTGGACATCGCCAAAGTTTTTGGTTGCCAACTTTTTTGCTGGCCCTGCTCCTGTGACTGACTTGCTGCTGTGTTTTTTAACAGGAGGCTGCAATGCAGAGAGAAAGTGATGAAGAAAGCTACATCTGTTTAGTTTCTGCATGCCAGCCTGCTCGTTTTTGATCAGCCATCTCCTACACTCAAGAGAGAGGAAGACAGAGAGAGGGTCAGAGGATGACCAGCAGTCACCCAACCATTAGAGTGACCCCTACCCTTTTTAATTATATGTACAGATTGTAATAAGTAAAAACCACATTAAGAGTTGAAAACAATAACAGCACAGAATCAGAAAAAAATGAAATATAACAGTACCCAAATGCACACAGCACAATTTCAGTTCAGCTTTCTTTCTTTCTTTCTTTCTTTCTTTCTTTCTTTCTTTCTTTCTTTCTTTCCATGCGGAGCATAAAG